ATGGCTGAAAGAAAAATTCATTGAATAACAGCCATTACTTAAAATAAAAGCCCTGAGTACTCTTAAAAGGGAGCAGCAATGGAGTTGAAGGGTTCTAGGGCAGTATCTTGTTCACCTCCTTGCATTGGAGCAGTTTTAAAGCTTTTTTTCTGTGAGGATTTTCACAGTTTTTAATTTTTGTGATGAATCCAATGCACCTACTCACAGTATAACTTCATTCAGGGAAATTGCTTTCAGCAACTCTTTGACTTTAAATACTGGATATTTTTCTAGGGGAAGGTGTCCCTGCCCATGGCAGGAGGTTGGAATGAGATGATCTTTAAGGTCCCTTCCAACTCAAACCATCCTGTGATTCTGTGAAATCTCACAGCTTCAGTGGGAATTAATTTAAGCACATGTTATTCTTAACAGGTGTGATTTCCTCAACAATATCCTCCTCTAAAATAGGCCAAAATCTCTCCTCTAAGCCTACATGTAACAAGGAGTAAGAAACTGTGATTACCTGCTCTCCTATCCTGAATCAACAGCTTTAAAATCCTCTTTCATGTATTTTAGCTTAACAAACCATGAGAAGCTTATCTTGTTATAGAAACCAAAGTGAGGGAAAAAAAAATTAAGGGAATGCTGTGATCCCTGGCAAGTTTACAAGAGGAACCTGAAGGGATGGGATGTGTAACTTAAAAAAAAAAAAAAAAGGAAGCCTGTCATTTTAAAGGGCTCATATGAATCTGAAACCTTCAATTATGGTATTAAAACCTCTTCTTCCTTCTTAAAGCTGTTTCTCTTTCCATGGGCAGCCCCAAGGCCTATCAGGGAGGAGGTTCCCAGGTAGCAGAGCATGGAAGGGGTTGGGAATGGGGGGTTAATGGGCGCCTTGGGCAGCCCCAGCCACTGGAGCAGGGATCAGGCAGGAGTCAAACACTGAGATAAATGGCTTTGGACAAAAACTGAGTGCAAACCAAAACCTGGAGGGGCTACAAAAAAAAAAAAGATAAGGACCAGATGATTGAAGAATCAATTTATCTCCTTGTCAGCAATGTCTGTGCATCTCAGTGTGGATATAACACACATTTTTGAACCAACACAGCTTTTATATTGCCTGGAGACACACTTACAGGAAAGGGCATTTTTTCCCCAAACAACTTCCATGTGTGATTTTTTGTTTGTTTGATAGTGCTTTTCTTTCAGACACTACAGAGAGGAAAAAGGGGCTGAAGTTGAGCTGTCAGTTCTTTTTGCTCCTGTTTTACATGTTACAAGGTCTGAGCAAGTCCCTTTTACAGAAATCTCACCTAAACACATGGGCACTGTAAAGAGCTTTTAAATAGCCATTAATTACATTCAAACTGTAGGAAAATTGTCTTAATATAAAGGAGAAGCTCCAGGGTGGATTTCATAAAATGCTTGATAAAATATATTGATCTTTCACCACACACTTCAAGGTAAGAAAATCCCAGCTAGAAATGAACAGCAAAAAACTAAGTTTATTTTAAAAGCAGTCTATGCTGATCATCTGCTGTGAAGATGTCAGAAAGCCTCACTAGTGATTAATTGCCTTCACATGGAATGGTTTTGCATTGGTTTTTCTCAGTCTGAAGAAATATTCATAAGTTCATCTTAACAAAATGCTGGAAAACTCACAAGCCTTAAGTGTCTTTGGGCTCAGCATGAGCAGCAACACTTTGTAAGCTTAGCTCATAATGAAATTAAATTAAATTAAAATAAAAAATAAAATAAAATAAAATAAAATAAGAGTTCTCTCAAAACTTGACAGGTGCGAACGAAATAAGCTGTTAACAGAGATAATAGTATGAAATCCTTCAGCAAACCCAGGAGAAATCACCCTGAAATAAGAAATTTTCCTTTTTTCCATGTGGTTGTACAGGTGATAAGTATTTTCCTTAAAAGAAGGAAAAATGTTGCTAATTTGTGTTGCCATTTTGAAAGAAAAATCAGTGAAAAAAACATGTTAATCCTTTTTGGTAGACATGAGTTGGACTTTTAAATGCTACTGCTGCAGGCAGGATTAGAGTGGTTTTGGTCCCTATTGCAGCCATATGATCTTGGAGCCAATACCAGGGAGTGTTTTTATTATAATTCAATTTTTCCCCTACTTCATGATACCATTTCTCCTCTACTATCCCTAGTTTTGCAGTATTTCATTCAGCATTCACTGAAACTGGTCCCCTCCACAAGTTTCCTGCTCTTGGAGGAAGCTGAGAGCATTGTTCAGAGCAGCTCAGCACCTCAAAGGGCCCCTGAGCAGAATGGGAAGGACACCTGGGCTTGGCAAATTTGGGTGCCTGCATCCCAGAATGGCTTGGGTTGGAAGGGACCTTACAGATCATCCAGTTCCACACCTTCCACTAGCCCAGGTTGCTCCAAGCCCCGTCCAACCTTGGCCTTGGACACTTCCAGGGATGGGGCAGCCACAGCTTCTCTGGGCAACCTGTGCCAGGCCTCAGCACCCTCACAGGGAAGAAATCCCAGAGCTGAATGTCTGGAGCAGGATAAACACCTCAAATTCACACTGGGGGTTCTCTTGTGCCATATAAGTGGCACTTCTTGCCATCCCAAAAGCAGCAGATCCAGGACCCTCATCAGGGAAATTCAGGACCTTGATGTCACCCAGGGAGCACACGGAGATGAGATGGTGTTGGCCAGAAGCAGAATTTGGCCTCTAGGTGCTGCCAGGGCACTGAAGGAATCAGGACACACCAGGACACCAAAGGAATCAGGACACAATTCCAAGGAAGCAGATACACCAGACAGAGGTGATTTGCTACAATGTACAAGACGAGTCATTCACGTTCAACCTGCTTCCACTCCATATTTGTCCCTGTTTTTTTCTACAGGACTAGAATTGCCACGTCCTGCAGCATGGAATTCTAGACAACTCCTGAAAAACATGAGTTTCCTGTTATTTTTTATGTAACAAGTACAGACACCTTGCTTTCCCTTCAGCCCTTGCCCTGCTGACTCCAAGACAGTGACTGGAATGTGGAAACCTTATTATGTATTGATTTTCCCCACACAGTACAGCTGTAGAAAATTTAATAGTCCCTGTTCTGTCTTGCCAACAAAAAAAATCCTGGGAAGCAGTGTTGTCATCAAGTAAAGCACAGGAAAGTCATGGTGCTTAACAAGGATGAATCACATGCAAGTATTGGAGTGGATGGAAAATTGAATCAAAAGTAGAAATAAATTTGATTTATCACATCCTGTTTGCATTTATTATGGGCTCCTCCTAAGTGATAATCACTCTAAAAATAGAGATTTATTGCTTTTGCAACTAGATTTGAATATAACTAAGACTAAAATATAAGGAATTAAAACCAGTAAAATAATGCACAGACTAATTTCTTAAGAAATGAAACTTCCATCTCTCCTTTCCAGCCACTGTCTGCCTTTCCCTGCCCAGCCAGTGAGCATTGCAAGGACAGACCCCGTGTTTTTTTTGGGAATGTGCCTTTAGACTTCTTTTCCGTTCCTCCAAGTTAATTCAGCAGACACCCCACAGGCACTGTTTGCACGCAATGAAAATCCCCTTCACCCCTGTGAGCCAGAGGCCAGTCTGCACTGCCAAGCTTTGTCCAACCCTTTTTGGGAGGAAAATCTGCCAGGGATGGTGAGAGATGAGTGGTTGTTTTTTGTGAAGACAGTTATTGTGTGCTAAGAGTAGAAGTGAACCATCCAACCTGCTTGGCTTCAGACCTAAAGCTGGGCTCAAGCCATGGCCCAAGAATTAAATGTTCAGCACATCACCTGCCAACCACCCATCATGGATTAACCTTGCACTCTGGGCATCACTGCCTTCTCCCAAAAACATGACTTATGAGTGCTTGCCAGCCCCTTCTCTTTCTTGTATAGGCCACCGTGTTAGTCTAGAGTAAAGAAATCATCAAAATTATCATGCTGGATAAAGGAACAGCCTAGATCCTCATTTCCATGGGTTCATCCTTGAATATTGAACCAAGGCTGTTGTTTTCTTGCCAGTGCTGCAGCTTCCCCTGTGACAAGCACAGCATAGAGTGCTGTTATGTTATTATGTTATTTCCTGAGCTTTTCCATAATGCATTAAATATAAGTCCAATTCTCCAGTGAAATGAACCATGAACACAATTTATTGGTCTCTTTGGGTAGTCTCTCAACTAGTGAAGCCTTTTCAACCCTGCTTACAGTTTATTGTTGGGGGAAATGGTGAAAAGATGCTGTTTCCTTGATGCTACACCCATCCCTGCAGTTGACACCACAGGAGGAACCAATATGTTCTAAACTCCAGCAAGAGTTATAGGATAGAGTCAGAGAATATGCTGAGATGGAAGGGACCCATCAGAATCATCGAGTCCAACTCCTGGCCCTACACAGCACACACCAAGAATCACTCCACTGGATTTCTAATGTATCTAAGAACAGGAGATATCAGAAATTATATCTAAATGCAAGAGCATCCTGTGCTCTTACACGTTTGACTCCTTGAGCTCACACAGACACGGAATAACAGTGGCAAGTCATCCAGGGTGTCGGTGGCAGTAAATGTGTGGGTGACAGCAAGGGTGTGGGTGGCAGCAGGGGTGTGTGTCACAGGTTGTTGGGGCATTGTACTCTTAGGGACACTTCATTTTTGACATCTGACTTAACTCCCCAAGTGAAAAGGCCCAGCTCCTCAGCCCTTCTGCATTTCCAAAGTGGACAGGTTTCCTTGGAGCCTTATCCGAGATCCTGAGTTGGCTCCTTGTTCTCAGACACCCTCCTGAGGAATCCACCCTGATGAGGCTGTTTCTGGGCTTCCATGGGAATCTGGTCCAAGCAAGGCTGGACCACAGATCCCACCCATCCCAGCATCCCATCACCCTTTTCCACTAAAGCCTTCACTGCCCGATTAGCCCAGAGCCTCATTACCTGAGGCAGTTCTTCCCTCAAGCCATGTTTTTCTTACAGGGATTACAACTTCCCTGCTCCATTTGACTGATTTATTTAAAAAAATCTCCTTTTTTTTTCAAGACACAAAAGTAGAATTAGAGAACAAAAGGAGCACAAAGAAATACAAATGATGGCCTCCATGTACACATTGAATCATCACCTTAAACAGTCTCTGAAGAAAGGTTCTGGCAGTGGAGTGGGATCCTTTCACTGAGCTGTCCATGGATTTCCCCAAAGCAGGACCCAGGTGAACTAACAAAGGCTTTTCTGGGAAAGCTTGAAGCACCTGCAGCCTCCTGGGCTTCTCATTTTTGTGTTTTCCTGCATTTCCAGGGTCCTGCAATGGGATATTGTCCCAGGAGAAACAGTCTCAAGGTGAAAATACAGAGCTCAGCCCAAAAAGTTGCATCTAGAACTTCGTATCCTGAAGCAGAAGAAAATGTGGGTTGAGTGAAATAATTTCTTGCCCAGCTCTGAGGTTCAGTGTCTTCACTGTGTTTTGGAAAGGCTCCTCTGGCTCTTCCAGGGTTTTCTCCATCCTTCCTATGTAAAAGTGTGTGCCCATGCCTTGGAGAATGAATATCACATCCAAAGGCAGCTTGACCCCTCTGATAGGATCCTACTCACTTTAAAAAAGAAACAACAGTTATAATTTAAATCTCTTCTTACTCGATACCCCTGGAAAATAATAACATGGACAAAGAGATTCTGTCTGAAATACTTTAAAGGGTGGTTCACGATAGTGATTTCTCTTATGTCAAAGTGATTTTTTTTTTGTATGAAGATTTTCTTTCAAAAAGGGAATTAATAAACAATAAATTTATCTACATAAACCTATACAGGATATTGATTGATAAGTTCAGTTTGCTCTTTCCTTCACTCCAGATCTACTAAAGTTGGGTATTTGTAAACCAGATACTTTGTAATACACTGTATTACATTTGGGGCCAAGAAAAACTTGGCCTGTACAGCTGAATCTTCACTTCCATCAGGAGCTTGAATCTCTGAAATGCTTTAGGTTCTTAGACAGTTTATGTAGCATTTTTTGTTGGCACGGCCCCATTATAATGCACAAAAAAAATTGAATTATACAGGTTTCTATGTGGGGTTATTTTCTTGTAAGAAACAACAATAATATTTTTAGCTTTTTATTTAAGAAAAATGTATTTTGGTCATAAATGAGGAAGAGGCGGGAAGAAACAGAGAGCCTGGAAGGAAAGGCAAGAGTTTGTATTTGTTTTCTTCAAAAAACAAGAGGAAAACAAAAGCAGGGAGCAGGCACCAGGTATTAATAAGCAAAGGGGGGGTTTGACCAAAATCCTCCCATTTGAACTATTAAATAAAAAGCTCAGACGTCACCACCGTGGCTGCAGCCCATTGGTGCCATGTTGCATTTTCCCAAAGCTTCCTAAAAAGTACTTCTATGAAATGCTGTGCATAAATCCGAGGTGTTTTCCATGGCAGCCTCAAGCACAGGTGCCTCGGGAAGCCATAGGGTGTGTGAGGGGCTGTGCTGGGGGCAGAGATCGGGTGGCACCAAAACAGCCACACCACAGGCCACCAGCTCCCCACGGGAGATGGGCAAAGGTATGAGCAGGAAAACCAGCAATTAAGGAGCTCCTCAGCAGGGACCTGCCTTAATTTGAGATGCTTGATTAAATCTGGAATTCTTTGTACAAGTTCTGTCAGCTCCACAGGCTGACACAAAGATGAGCTTGTGTTTTTGGGGAAAAAAAGGGGGTTTATTTAGGAGCGCTGCAGGGGATGGGGCTGGGTGAGCTGTATGCCAGCCTCATATTCCCTGGGAGCAGGGGCTGGGGTGAGGGCACATCCCTCTGGCTCTGTCATAGAACCAGAGAGTCACAGAATGATTATGCTGGAAGTGACCTCAAAGCCCATCCAGTCCCACCCCCTGCCATGGGCAAGGACACCTTCCACTAGACCAGGTTGCTCCAAGCCTTGAACAACCAGGCCTTGGACACTTTCAGGGATGGGGCAGCCACAGCTTCTCTGGGCAACTTGTGCCAGGGCCTCCCCACCCGCACAGCCAAGAATTCCTTCCCGTCTATCCCTGCCCTGTGACAGTGTGAAGTCATTTCCCCTTGTCCTTCCCCTCCAGGCCCTTGTCCCAAGTCCCTCTCCAGCTCTCTTGGCACCACTTCAGGCACTGGAAGGGGCTCTAAGGTGTCCCTGGATCCTTCTTGTCTCCAGGCTGAACAATTCCAGCCCTCTCAGCCTGTCTCTGTGGAGCATCTCCCGGCATATCTGGGACATCCAGGCTTGAAACCCATCACTTACCTTCCTGAACCAAGCCAGGAGGGCTATGACTGGCAGGGAACTCTGCTTTAATCCTGGCCATGGAAAGGTGAGAAAACCACACTGGACACCTGCATGGCAGGAGTTTAAAGCCTCTCCAAGGTGGTGGGAAGAGACAGTGAAAAAAGGAGGGAAAGCAGCATCCACAGCCAGCCCTGCAGGCAGCACCCACACCCCTCCCGTCCTCCCGCACCTCCCTGTAATTATCGATTTTATATAAAAACTTACATTTACACGTTACAAAAATACTCCTCTCTCGTGCCTCAGTGCACCTGGGTGCGCCCGGGGGGCTCCAGTCAGGGCTGGCCCCCGGCGCGGCCATACAGGGTGGCATCGGGGCCAGGGGGACACGCCACCCCCGCGCCCCCGCCGCCGCCCCCGGCCGCCTCCGCCGCTCCGGCCCCCTCCGCCCGCCGCCTCCTCCTCCTCCTGAAATTCCCGTTATCGAACATCTTCTCGCAGTTGGGGTCGAGGGTCCAGTAGTTGCCTTTGCCTGCAAAGCAGAGAGGAGGATCCATCGGGGCTCCCGCCGTCCGGGGTTGCCCTTCACAGAATCACAGAATCCACGAGGTTGGAAGAGACCTCTGAGATCATCGAGCCCAACCTCTGACCCGACACCACCTTGTCTACTAAACCGTGGCACTGAGTGCCACAACCAAGCATCGTCAAGTACACCCTGTGCCCGATGCCCACCTTGCCACCCAGCCCAGAGCGCTGAGTGCCACGTCCAGTCGTTCCTTGGACACCTCCAGGGACAGTGACCCCATCACCTCCCGGGGCAATCATCCATCACTTCCCCTTCCAATGTCCAAACACTCTCTTTGCAAAGAATTTCTTCCTAATGCCTGACCTGAACCTTCTCTGGCGCAGCTTAAGCCCGTGCCCTCTTGTCCTAAGCCTGTGCCCTCTTGTGCTTACCCGGGTCGTCCTGGTCCCGCGGCACCTTCCTGAAGCAGTCGTTGAGGGAGAGGTTGTGTCGGATGGAGTTCTGCCAGCCGGCCCTGCCGCGCCGGTAGAAGGGGAAGTTCTCCGCCACGAACTGGTAGATCTGGCTGAGGGTGCGGCGGCGGCCGGGCGCGCTGTGCAGGGCCATGGCGATCAGCGCCGAGTACGAGTAGGGCGGCCGGGCCGGGGACAGCGGGGACAGCGGGGATAGCGGGGACACCCCCGGCCACCCTCGGCCCGCACCCGCGGGGCCCGGCGGCAGCACCGCCCCGGCGGGCGGGCACGGGGAGCAGGGGCCGCCCGGCCACAGGGACGGGCTGGCGGCGGGATGCGCGGGGGGCCGGGGCGCCGGGAAGGGAGCGGAGCATCCCGCGGCATCCAGCAGGTCCCGGGCGAGCGGCGGCGGCGGCCCGGGCGGCCCGAAGGGGTGCATTGTACGGGGGCAGCGTGGGGCCCGACCGACCCCCGCTTAAGTACCTCCTGAAGACCGCTTAAGGACCGCCCGCCGCCGCCGGACCCCCCGAGGGACCCCCTCCCGCCCCTCCGCCCCAGCACGGCCCGCCCCGCCCCGCAGAGCCGGGCCGGTGCGGGGGCAGCGGGATCGGAGCACACGGGGGATGGGGAGATGGAGGGAGGGTGGGGGTTCCTGGGGAAACGGCGAGGATTTGGGAGTAACAGGTGGGTGGGACCTGAACACAGGAGGGATGTGCACCTGTTGGAGCAAGTCCGGAGGAGGCACCGAGATGATCAGAGGGATGGAGCAGCTCTGCTGTGAGAGAGAACTGGTATTGTTCAGCCCGGAATAGAGAAGGTTTTGGGGTGACCCAACTGTGGCCTTCCAGGACCTGAAACAAGCCCACAAGAAAGATGGGGAGAAACTACAAGGGGGAATGGCTTCACACTGCCAAAGAGTAGGTTTATATAGGATATTGTGAAGATATTCTTCCCTGTGAGGGTGGTGAGGCCCTGGCACAGGTTGCCCAGAGAAGCTGTGGCTGCCCAATCCCTGGAAGTGTCCGAGGCCAGGCTGGACGGGGCTTGGAGCAACCTGGGCTAGTGGAAGGTATCACTTCCTATGACAAGGAGTGGAGCAACGTGATCTTAAGATCCCTTCAAACCCAAACTATTCTAGGATTCTATGATTCCCTAAATTTGGGAAAATCAGAGCCATCTGACCCCACCTTCTATATTCTTCCAATTGAATGAACAAAATCTCATAACCCCAAGAGCCTCATCATGTAGCAAGGAAATTACCAGCAAGTCAGGAAAAGGGATAAAGGTAAGCAAGCACATATGCACGTTGCAGAATTAAAAAGAGCCTTCATACCATTGGCAAGGCATTCATCTGAATATCAGTTACTTCAGGCATATTTATAGAAGATCTGCCTTCAAATCTCAAAAGTGTGAGGGGCAATATTCCTTCCATTTCAATGAAAATAACTCAGGAAACAACCTGACCCCTAACATTAAAGTTATTTAATTTCCCTGCTGTCAGTGATTACCCGGAGACATCCAGCAGCAAATTGACCTCCAGGTATCACCAGAATGGCTGCCTGTGGATGTTGCTGTTTTGTTTTCCATTGCATTGCTTGTCTGTGTGTCAGGGAAAGGTGTAACTTGTGTTTGTATCCATCATGTTGAAGCAGAGCAGCAGAGTGATATTATTTGTGTTAGTCTAGTGCCTCGTGGCAAACTTCATGTCGGTTGGCTGAATTTTTGTGTAAGTTGTAGACATCTACCATGCAAACAAGAGGATTTTGTTTCATATATTTTCCAAACATACCAATTTACAAGCCCACAGAGAGCTCATTAAATTGTCCCCTTCTCAGCTGAGCTGACACCCGAGGACACAAAACCACATATTTGTTAATGCTGACTTCTTTTTGCTTTGCAGGAAACCGTTTACTAGGAAGCAGCAATCCCTGGTAAACACCCAAACATAATTTAGCTCCTTGATGATATTCTAACCCACAGGAAAAAAATACTTCTTGTTACAGAATGTGGAGCTTTTTACAACCTTTTTTCCATTTCTTTAGCATTTCACCTGGATTGACAGGGTAAGGAGCATGTCAAGGTGGCGTCAGGGGAGACCTCATCACAGTTACAACTTCCTCGGGAGGGGCAGAGGAGGGGCAGGCACTGATCTCTGCTCTGTGGGGACCAGGGACAGGACCCAGGAAATGGCCTCAAGTTGTGTCAGGGCAGGTTTAGGTTGGGTATTAGAAAAAGGTTCTTCCCCCAGAGGGTGGTTGGGCACTGAACAGGCTCCCCAGGGCAGTGGGCACAGCACCAAGGCTGACAGAGCTCAAGGGATGTTTGGATGATGCTCTCAGGCACATGGTGTGACTCTTAGGGATGGTCCTGTGCAGGGCTGAAGGTTGGACTCGATGATCCTTGTGGGTCCTTTCCAGCTCGGGATATTCTCTGATTCTGGGCACAAGCTCTGCTGTGTCTTTGGCAAGTCTCTGATACACTTTTTAAACGCTGCCGTCGCTTAACGGGACCTTTTCCAGCACTTTTCCGTCCTCGCGTCCTTCATCTCCCGGGCGACGCGCTCGTTCCCAGCGACGCCCGACAAAATGCGCGAGTCGTCTAAGGAGCGGGATTTGGAGCTCAGGGAGCGCCGCTGACTTATCCCGGCATCATTCCCAGGGAAAAGCAGGCGGGTTTGGTCAATCGTGGGCCGGCGATGCCATCTAGTGGCACCGGGACCGGCTCCGAGAGCTGCGGGGTGTCCGCCCCCCTCCTCCTGCTGCGGGCACCCATCCTGCCCTTCTGTGCCACAAAGCCCAAAAACTGGGGTGCGTTAGCGACCCAGCAGGAAAGACAGGCGGATTTCTAACCGATATTGGGTTGGAAGGGACTTCAAAGCCCATCCAGTCCCACCACCCTGCCATGGGCAGGGACACATTCCGCTAGCCCAGGTTGCTCCAAGCCCTGTCCAACCTGGCCTTGGACACTTCCAGGGATGGGGCAGCCACAGCTTCTCTGGGCAACCTGTGCCAGGGCCTCACCACCCTCACAGGGAAGAATTTCTTCCCAATATCCCATCTACCTGTCAGTTCCAAGCCATTCCCGTTTGTCCTGTCCCTACATGTCCTTGTCAAAAGTCTCTCCAGCTTTCAATTATCTCCAGCCTCAATTATTTATCACTACAAGTCTATCTGAGACCTTACATTTTTTGTAAAGTCCTGGCAAAGAAAAGGAATTCCAGGCAGCACAGTTCCTCCTCATAGCACCATCCCTCATGGATTAGCTCCTCTGCATTATGGGAATAAATTCCCTGTTTTTTCCTCTACTAAAATAGTTACAGTAAACCTGAAGGAGTGGAGTTTACAGAGGCTGGTTGGGAGATTTAAATACAATAATTCACCTCAACAAAGCCTTCAATACTTTCCTGATGAAGCTGATTGAAATGTGGGTGTTTTGCACCAAAAGTGTCACTTTGATTTCTCTGGAAACACCAGATGTTAGAATAAACTCCTCTCATTTCAAATAAGAAGTGGAGAGGGTGAAATACAAACACATGATGAGAAAGAACAACCAAGTCATCTGAAATGAAGCATTCAGAGTTTATCAAAACAGAAAGAAAACATCATAAATAGAAATCTAAATATTATTTTGACTTCAATACAACCATGCTCACTTGGTATGATAATTATTAGCAAATAAATAAATATTAGCTACAGTTTTCAGGTCAATAATGACAATAATTAGGTAAAAAATGGACATTTTCCAGGTCAATCAGTCTGTGGCAATTAATCAAATTAATTATAAAATTAAAATTTATATAATGTCAGCAATTATGGTTTAATCCTGAAATACTGCTCTTCAAAAGAAACCAATAAGACAGACAAATCCACTAGTTTGCCATATTTAAATTTCACACTGTATTCTCATTTATTTTGATATGTAACTCCTGACAGGTGAGGGAGCCCCTTTTCATGACCCTGTGTTAAGAATGGCTTCAAGAAGAGAAATGTTACATACCTATTTCAGTCTTTTGTGTCTCAAAATAATAGAATTTGCATAGACCAAAGGTTTTGGCATTGAATTCAAATCTTGAGGTGTTGTGTTCTGATTATTTGAATTCATATTCTTTACATGGCTAAATTGTTTCATTTGTTTGATGTTCTGATTGTTCATGAGCATTTATGGCTTGGATTTCATACCTTTTTTTTTTTTTCTACCTTTATCAAAGTTTGCCTTTTGACATTCAATGCAATCAGTTCATTTTCTTCCTGCCCATCTATCAACAAAAGCTGTAAGAGCAATTCTTAATTAATGAAAAGGTTTGAAACTCTAGTGTTCTTTTAGAAACTTCTAAAAAGTTTCTAATTTATTTTTTTTTCAATATGAAAACTAAGCTTTTCTCCTTCATTTATTGAAAAAAAACCAATAAGTAATTTGGATTTCACTTGCTTACCTTGGATGGAGAAGAGACATTACAGCCTTTGTAACTTTGTATCAGTTCTCATGTTCTGCAATTAATGGGAATTTAGGGTGAGAGAGGCTCCTCCCTGGTTTTCCATAAACTTTACCACCCAAGGCTTTTCAAAGTTAGGTTGGATATCAGGAAAAATTTATTCACTGGAAGGGTTCTCAAACACTGCCCATGGAAATCACCATCCTTGGAGAGATTTAACAGACCTGGATGTGGCACTGGAGGACATGGGTTAGTGGTGGCCTTGGAAGTGCTTTAATGGTTGGAGTCGATGCTCTTTTCCAACCTAAATGATTCCATGGTTCTAAATACAGAAGGTTTTAGCATCAGCAGATGTCAAATTATAAAACTCACTAGAACAGCTCAGATATTTACCACATATAAGTGATTTAATCTTCTAATTCCACCCCCCTGCCGTGGGCAGGGCCACCTTCCACTACCCCAGGTTGCTCACAAATGGTCTGCAAGAAATTTCTCATATTTCAGTTCATATTTAACACCTAAAACCCTTTTCTATTTTTTATGAGCAGATGTAAAAATTACTTTTGAAAACAGCAAAGGAGCTGCAACTACAGAAAATTAACTTTTGGGCACGTGATGAGCACAGAAAAGAGAAGACATGGCCTGTAGCAACAAAGACTGCATATAACATCCATCTATCTTCTTAAATGAGTGTGTTTAATTCCTCAGTAAGCAGCTCCTTCTTTTCTCACCTGAGAAAGAATTAATCTCTGCTTAAGAAAAGCAGGAATTTATTAAAAAAAAAAAAAAGAAATTACAAAATGAGGAGCCACCAGCAATATTTTGTTTTAACATTTCTGAAGTTTACCAAAGACATATATAAATTGTCCCTTGTAAATTTATAAGCTGCACATACAAATTGATGCTTTTATATAAAAAAATATAGCTTAGTTTTGCTCCTTTCTAGGTAAAATATTCCAGCTTGACAAGCACAAGCACAAAATAGTATTAATATCCTCACACCATGA